ATGATTAAGTGATATTTAAAAAATGCTAATAGATTAAGTAAAATGATTGAAAAATATTTTTGTAGGAAAATAATTATTTTTTCAAAATTTTACAAAATTTATTTAAACAAATTTTTTTGAAGAAAAAGAATTTTAGCTTTTTTCTTTTTTTTAATTCTCATTTCTAGCTTTAAAATAAAAAAAATTTCTTAAATGAAAAGAATTAATAATTTTTATCAAAATTTTCAAATTGACATTATAATACGATTGTATTAAAAATGCAAAATATATTATGTGAAATTTTAGAAAATTACCGAAATCTGATAGTGCGCATTGCATAGAAGCACCAAAATTCCATTACGATATGGATTTTGATTTACGTGCTTTAAAAGCAGCTTTAAAATCCGCGGAATTTCTCGAAGAATCAGGCTATCAATCAATACTTGAACGTTCTCAGCATAACCAATATGGCACTGGATGGTTTATCAATGAAAATATCAGTGAAATCGATAGTGATACCGATGATAACTGGGGTATATTCTTTATTTTCCCATCAATGAGTCAAAAATAGTGACAATCAATCTATGAGTACAAGTACTATAATTATTATTAGAATATAGTAATAAATAAATTAATTTGAAATGAAGTTTTGAGTAATAAAATTCTGTAAAATGTTCGAAGATAAATTTTTCATCATCTTAATAATTATTTTGTACATAATTTGAATACATTTGTCAAACTATCAAAAACATTATGAGTATTTTTTCACACAGCACATTCAAAGTAAATGACTGAAGATTTTGGCGTAAGTTGTTCGAAGCAAAAATTTGCATAATTTCATATTACACTACTGATAATTGTAATTATGAGTAGGTTTAGTGAAAGAATAATATAAAGCTAAAGTTTATACAGATTTCAATAATATTTAGATGTTAATAATTTCCTAAATCGTATACTTTTTATCTATTTTGTTTAATATTTTTATTTACTAGCAGTTTTACCATAGTAATTCCGAAAATGCACTCATTGATATACAAATACTTGACGGAAAGTTTTTTATTTAAATTTAATAAATCGAAAACGGAGTTTTTTACATAATTTACTACAAGAAATTAATTTTCACTAAAAATATTTATTAGTCAAAATTATTAACTACACATTAGTTCTTGATAATAATTAATACTTTAAGTGATATAAGTAATTAAGTATTAATAAAAATTTATTTCCGATTTTTAAGTTAAGTTATTGAAAAAAGATTTTAAATTTGTGTAAGAAAAAGAAGATTCTAAAACTTATAAGTGAATTATTTCTACACAAAAATTGGTCCATACACACTTGAGCTTTTTCACTACTACTATTATATAATTCAAACTGAATATGCCAGTCGGCCCAATTCCTATTTTCATATGTGATGTCTACACAGCAAATACTGTTCATTCTCATTTATGAATATTTGCATAAAATTAGTGAAATTTAAATCCTGAATTTGTTTTATTTTTCTTGTCTTGTTAAAATAATATGCAAGATGATATCTGTGTCAGAACTAATTCAACCAGTCAGTCATATTATTAGTGCAATGAGTATATATAATAATGATCTCAGTGATATGATAGAGCCATAAATATCATATCAGCATCATAGATCATTTTAAAAACGATGACAATATAAGAGCATTATTGGAAAATAATAACTATAATAAATGATGGTGGCTCGTTTTATTTATTGTAATAATAGTTAATAATAATTATTATTATTAATGAGATAAAATAGTAGTACAGAAGTAAATGGTGATAATATATAAAGTCAAGGGATTAATATATGAATAAATTTGTTAATTATTAACAATTATAATTACAGTTCATATGAAAATATGCGAATCATGAATAGTTGAATGAATTTTTACTTTAAAGAATCAGTTTTTATAAATTTTAGCTAAAAATAATCACCAATTTTAATCGAATTATAAATATACTTCAATTAGAGTTATTATCTACCAAATTTTTCAGTCAGCAATTATAATAATTAAGTATTTTACTGAGAATCAGTTTTGACTAAAATTGATTTCAAAAAGAAATTCAAAAAGAACTGAAAATACTTTTTATGCAAAAAAATACCAGGTCGGAAAGTGGGAGGCAGAAGTAAATTTGTGGGAAATTTGCGAAATTGCATTTTTGAAGGGTCAATACTGATGCTAAATTAATTAAGAAAATTCTACCAATTAATATTTAATAATTTTTTTGACATGGCTTTTTATCCAAGTCGAACTCTGTCAAACCGAAACATTTAAATATCAAATATTTGCATGTTAATATGTAATTCTTTAACTTATTTCCGTCCTGGAATAGAAATTATTAATTAAATATTAATTAGATTTTCTAATAATTACTAAAAAAGTGTTTGTAGACAATAATTTCCTCATGAAATCCGTTAACAAAATATGCAAAATGCTATTTGTGTTAGAATTAATTCAACAGTAATATTAATAGTACACTAAGTATATAATGATCGGATTAACTAAAATTCAGTTCTTATTTAAATTTGAAAACTCAAATTTTCCAGTACGAATTTAAAATACGATAGAAGTTCTTGAAATATCAGTTAAAAAAATAACAAAATTGCATTTAACTTTGAACATTTTTGAGAAAGTTCAAATAGCAAAATAATACCTTTCCATTATTTTGTTTCCCTCCAATTATTTCTAATTTACAATAATTACTGAGAATAGGATTAAAATTGCAGCGCAGTATATTTATATTAATAATAAAAAAATTATATTGAAAATGGAAGTAATTTCTTTTTTGCTTACTTGAAAGGATTCATTATCAAGTAATTACTTTGTAGGATTTGTTATCAAGTAATCTTGCTCGTTTAAATCGTTTTATGCTGTTGTACGTTTATACTTGTATATGTATATCACGTATAAGTCAGTAAACGGGATTATCATGTGCATTTCTCCACACGTATATTTGTCAACATACATGTTTATGTTTACATCAGATATACGTGTATGTTAGCATTTATATATGCATGTGTGTATGTACATCTCCTGAAGTATGTGTATGTGTGTGTGTCTGTGTATGCCTTCTGAAGATCAATACCACTTCCTCTAGATAGGTAATTTCATATTCAATAATGGACGTAGAAGATTATTCAGGTAAGTATATAGGTTAATTCTATTGATACAGCAATCGTCATTCGTATTCTTGAAGGTTATTTACCATAACTTTTGCTTTGTATACTGCTCAAATTTTTGATATTACTCAAACAAATGCAAACATTATCATCGTCATGATTATTTCATATTGATACTCAATCAAAACCTTATTAATAATTCTTGATAAAAGTAATGACTTACAGTATTCTTTTACCATAATGAATTAACAAAGTATGGATGAAATATTACTGAGCAACTGCTATTTGTATTTGGATATTGCTATAATTATGGTCTTTAGTACTGTCTTGTCAAGACTGCAATTATTATCGAAAAAACTTTAAACTAAATATTACTTTGCTATTCAAAGTAATAATTTGATAGAATGAAGAATATCTGTAAGTTATTCATAAATGCAAATTTTGATTCTTAATCAAACTTTTTGATACGAAAATGACCACTTATGAGTAGTAGTTAATTGGTAATTAATTCGATAATGATGCCAAAAAATCATCATTCAGAATTATAATTACATTATTATTATTATTATTATTATTATTATTATTATTATTATTATTATTTTCATTTATGTTATTATTATTATTATTATTATTACTATTATTATTATTATTATTATACATTATTTGCTTTGAACAAATGAAAATGTAAATATTTTTTAGATGGATATATGGACGTTGGTAGCAAGCGAGTTAAAATTAAAGAGATGTCTGATATTTTGGCTTCTCGTTTTGCATTCATCTCAGGTTAGTTATTTGCATATTGCAATCATTTAAAGCAATCATTAGATTTACTATTAAAAATAATATTACTGATAATAAATTTAACGTAGTGATAGTAACGGATCAGACGAAACTGTCCACGTTTTTTACTCAATTAATGAATAATGAACTTTATATATATATTTAATATTTTTCACTACATTTGCATATTGTGTTTTCATTGACCATTTATAGCTTATTTCACGTAAATACAAATTTAGTTTTGTTTAAGTATTTACTTTCCAACAAAAATTAGTTACTTTCGAATACTTTGTGGAAAAGTTATCAGAAATACTTCACAATGAGCTAAGTTACAGTGAATCGGCAAAAATACTTTAAACGTTTTTTCATATTAATTTATAGTTATTTATTTACTATTTTATATTTTACTACTTTTGATCGTTAATTATTGATTTGTAATTA